CTGCCTCAAAGTTGCAGAGAAAATGAACTGCTTAAGATTAGTCATTTTCCTTACTTAAGAGGTATTCCTGACAACCCACACTACAATTATCCAAGATTAACTCAATTAACACCATTCCCCATTCTTTAAACTAGTAGGTTTTTGGAAAACAGCATTTAGACTGAATAGTTCAAAGCATATTTTAAAAGATCTCAAAATGGTAGGAAATGCTCATGTAAGTATCAGTTAAGGATTTTGAATGAGGTACTGACAGGTCATAGTACTGGTCACACAGGGAACCATAAACTAATACAGAGATGCTGCTTACTTGTCTGTTTGACATTTAATCTTTGTACTTCTTGCAGATCAGATCAAATGAAAACTTAAAAGAATACTGCATTGTTAACCCCTCAAAGGGAGGGACATTATCTTCTTTTTTTTTGTCCTTCCCATTGTGAATTAGAATGCCTCTAATTTAGAATCACATATTTGTACTATACATTTAGGACAATCTATGTACCATGACTGTACCATGTATCTGGCATTGCGCAATGGCCTACCAAAAGCATCTTGGAGGCTATGGCAGGAAGATTTTGAACCCAGCCTGGGCAACTTAGCCACTTAACAAAACCCTGTCCTGAAATTTAAAAAAATTTAAAAGAGCTGGGTTTGTAGTTCAGTATGAAGGGTTCACTCCGCTGTACCAACAAAAACAAACAAGCAAACAAGAACAAAAACAAACTAAAACACTACTACAAGATGGAAGCTATCTTTAAAACAGAACCTATCAGAAATCTCAAAGTGAAATCCACAACACAGGTACTAAACTTTAACCTATTGTGCTTATATTAAATGCCACTGGTGCTACTAAAATGTTTAATGCATAAATTTCTCTCCCTTGCAATTTCAGCATGGGCCACCAAAAGCATATTGAACAAATGCAATCAGAAGTCATCAATTCCCATAACACTCTCCCCTCTGAACCTAAGCAGTCTTCAAGGTTTTTGATCCAGAACATAAAAATATATTCTCATTTCTAATTCAAAGCACTTCGGAGGTAGAGAAAAAAATCCTAATCTGCTACCTGCCCATACTTTCTTCCAACCTCCTTACCCTTTCATTAAGAAAACTTTACATTTAGTTATACAGGGCTTTATTTTCTTTTTTGGCCTCCTAATGATTGTTTCCAAGTGGAAAATGATGAAGAACACTAACTCAGACGGTTGTTACAGAATCCAACTTGAACAAACTACTGAATCCTCAGATGTAGAAAGAATTATTTCCACTTATTAAAAAAAAAAAGACAAAAAACTCTGCAAGTGTGAATTATAATTACTTGATGCTAAAACTAAAATCAGACCCAAGTCATAGAACCAATTGTTAATGAAAGCATAGTAAAGTAGCATTAATTATAATAACCTTACCTGGAATCTACTGAGATACTGTTCTCAGTGTTTCAACAGACTTTCAAAAATGAAGTCCCTATCAGTTAAGCTTCAGGATATAGCATAAATGATCATGAGAACCTCCATTCATAATATCTCAGATATGTGTATTTTTCATCATTTTGTTCGACACAAAACTATCCAGGATTAGAAAAATTGTGACTAACATTACTTCAAATCTGAGAAAACCCACAATAGAGAAATTCAGTAAAGTCACATACCAAAGCACAGATAGAGCTGAAATTCAGGGATTCTCAACTATACCAGTGCTTCTCAAGCTAATCAATCATGCACTGCGATCATAATTACTGCTATATTCACACTATTATTTAATACATTCCAATTGGTTCTGTCTTTAAAATTTAGTTTTAAAGAAAACATAACATGATCACAAACATGAGAAACCTGAATTATCTGCCATAAATACATTCTAAGTAGAAATAAACTCATGAAAAAAAGCAATCTTATTAAATTCTAGTTAGACATTGTTTCCTTCTGCTGTTCCTGAGCACAAGGTCTGCGTTTCTATAGAAAAGGTAATTAAACAAGCATTACTGACACATGTCAACTCGGACTGATCAGCTTTCTTTTTCTACAGAATGATAAGACTCAGAGAACTGAGGAATTTTCTCACTGTATTTTTTTCAAAGATCTTTAACAGTGTGCCAGGAAACGTCAAATAATTACCTTGGACCTATGATGATTTTGTATATCATTATAAAACAAATCCCAAATATTCTGTGGACCACCACCAAAAAGATTCAGGAATTTCTTAAAGGATTTCTTTTACTTCTATTCTGGCCCAGAATCTCAAAATGAATCTTGTTTCTCTCAAAACATGCCCCAATATGCCTAGCAGTCAATAGGAGGCAATATCAAGTTGATAGAATTGGAAGTTACTACCCAAGAAACTTGTTCTTGAAGGCAAATATTACATAGATAAAAGCAGTAGTTATCTAGGAAGCATGATCAAGTTCAACAGATACTATCTGGTTTGACCTTGAATTGATCAGTAAACCACTCAGCTATATTTCTAATACGCAAAAAAGGAGTGAGGTAGACTACTACCTCCCCATAGAGTGGTATATGGATTGCACTTAGAGATACTAGCATAGCAGACACTCAATAAATGTTAGTTGGGTCAAAAATTTGTTCATTACAACTAACCAAAAATCTTGATCAAGACGACTGTAAGTTGTTTCACCTTACTGACCCTCAGGCCCTATTATTCAGTTTCAAATGTAACCTTGAAAATTAGAACAAAGGGAATACTTATGAAGATCTGAAATGCCCATGAAAACTTAGGCAACTGGTCAACAGTTGGTCCAAAGCACATTAATAAAGTTCCTCGACTGAAAAAACTTATCAGGGAAAATATTATTGATATTTTTCAGATAGTAGCAAAATATATTTGATAATGACAAAAAACTTATGTGATCTTTTCTTTATATATAACTAAAGCAGTTATGGTATTAAGTACTAAATACGATATCTAAGTTATAGTGCCACCTACTGGTGACGAAAATACTACTGATAGAATATTTTTGTTTTTATATTTTCTAATGAATCAACATTTAAAACTAGGATTTAACAGTTGATATCTTATTTTCTGACATTTATAAGACATAATTGATCTTATGAAATAGAACATTTTTTGCTAAAATTACTTTGTTACCTAATAGAGCATTATTTTACTTTCAATAAACATTAAAACTGTGAAGGTAATTTTTAAAAATCAAGACTGTAATATCCAATTTTTGTATTTATTGCTAAAATATACAATGACTAAAATATAATTTAAACACTTCAGTATCTAGACATTTTCTTTTTTCTCTTCCAAACTTGTACCTGCAGACTTTTATTTAGTAATAATTAAGTACCAGGCAGTCCTTATGCCTATTTTACATATATTAACTCAGGAAGTCTTTACAATAATCCTTTGAAGTTAGTAATCTATTTGTTAAAACTAATCTATTTTGTTAATCTATTTTGAAGTTACTAATCTATTTTGTTAAAACTGAAGCACCCAAGTTTAAGTAACTTTCCCAGTGCTAGATGCAGCAAATCTCCAAAGTTCAAACAGAGAATCTATATCCAGAGTACATGCTTTTAGTCACTATGCCACCATGCCTTTCATTTGTAAAAGGGGAATTCAGTATATAACAGCATTCACGTAATACTCATGTTTTGTTTTCCTGCTTGATATTTTCTAATGTTACTAAATCCTTTACTTCTAATAGCTATGTAATGGTTGATACATTCTGTCAACTTGAGAAGTTTAGAAGTTTAGCTAAGCGACTCAGCAGGGAGCCAGGGTCCTTACTTTGTAAACATACTCATCCTGTGACAGGGAGATTGCTGGAGTGCTATGCCTGCCACTCTGTCTTGGAGCCAGCTGAGTATGGACTGAAACCTCCACAAACAGTGCGCTAAATAAACCTTTCTTCCTTTAATTTTGGGTGTCGGGTATTTTGTCTTAGCAATGACAGAAAAGTAACGAAGACAAACTACACCCTTGCTATTAATTCGGTGTATCTCATTTTACTTACATTAGGTATTTAATGTTTGACTTTCAAATAATCCCTAATTTCTTTCATTATATATAAAATGATGTAATAAGCAAATCTTGCTGTGCATATAACCTTTTTCCTTCTCTTGAATTTAACTCTCTTGTGCTAACACTCCCTAAGTTATTAGACTGACCTAAAGTATATTAAAGTGCCTGGTTACTGATACTTAATGTTGCATAGTGCTCTTTAAATTTTATCCTCATACCAGCAGAGGATGCTCAGATCTCCCCCATACATCATCCCCCTACAAATTTAACTGAAAAAAGTTGCTGAGGTAATTTATGAGAGCCAATTGTGGTGGTGCATACCCGTAATTCCAGTACTTGAGAGGCTGAGGCAGGAAGCTGGCCTGGGCTATACAGTGCGTATAAGACCAGCCTAGGGGCTGGGGATTTAGCTCTGCGGCAAAAGTGCCTGCCTGGCAAGCGCAAGGTCGTGAGTTCGGTTCCCGGTACCAGAGAAAAGCCAAAAAATAAAAATAAAAAAAAAAATAAGACCAGCCTGAACTACACAGAGAAACCCTGTCTTAAAAAAAAATACAGGGGCTGGGATTTAGCTCAGCAGCACAGCGCCTGCCTGGCAAGCACATGTCGTGAGTTCAATTCCTGGTACCAGAAGAAAAACAAAACAAAAAACAAACAAACAAAAAAAATACAATTTAGGAATGTGCGACAGTAAACTGACAAACATTAAAATTTTCAAATGGGCAAAATGTTTTTCTGTAGCAACATAAAATGTGCAGATATTTCTGTTATTTGCCATTATAAAGTTGATACTGCCTGATTTTTTTTGTTTGTTTTTTTAAGACAGGATCCTGCTATGTAGTTCAGATTGGCCTTGAACTATGTAACCTAGGCTGGACTTGAAGCCACAGCGATCCTCCTACCCTAAATTCCTAAGTCCTGGGACTACCAGCATGTACCACTGAGGTTGAACCTCCCTGGGTCGAGGGACCTGGGCCCGTGGTAAGCGGCGACACGGTGAAGAGAGACACCGGAGACCAGGCTGATGGCGCAGATCCGTTTTTATTGCGGAAGTATCAGCTGTTTTATAGAGCAGGCTAGAGGCGTGGCAATAAAGGCGGGCTAGGGGCATGGTCTGGAGGTGGTATTATTGACAGGGGCGGTGCGGAAATAAGAGGTCAGAGCGGGACAGTCTAGGCAGGGCAATTTACTCGGTTTGCCGAGGAGTCCGAGTTTGCTCAGACTCGTTCCTCCGCCACGGCTGTCAACCAGACCTCTGGACCTCTTTTTCCCACATACCACCACACCCACCTGCCTTGATTCTTAAAAATAATAGCATATGCTAGACACTAGCGCATGTGGGAGCTGCAGCCACAGCACAAACCTGTGCGACTCTAAAACCTGAGTTTCAGATCATAGAAAAAATAGGGAGTTAATGTAGACCAAGATACAAAAACTGTATGAAAAGTTTTATTTCATCCTTCATCAAAGATTATTTATCTCATAAAGGGGTAAAAACTGCAACCCAAAACCCACCTCTTTATCACGAAGTGCCAACACTGCAATGAATCCCGAATCCCCCGTGCTTGGTTGCTGGGGCGATGCTGGGGCAGCTGGACTCACAGGCTGACAGACGGGACTCCACGTTCCCACTGCAGCACACCTGCCACAAGTTCACCACCAATGAGCTACAATATCTGAGTATTACTTTACAATACTTTTTTCTTAAATGTTACCTTACAGTATATATTTTCAGTAGCTTAAAAAGACTGTAAAACTCATGACTGAACAAACGTCACTGAAGCATGGCATGACAGGAAGAACGAGGCGCTGAGTCACACAGATCTTAAACCGACTCTGACACTTTCATGGAACTTTAAAGCATCAACTTCCAACTTCCGAGGATGCTGTGAAAACTAAGCGACAACAATTATGAAGCTCCTAGCATACAGAAGATGCTCAAAGATGTTACCTCTCTTTCCTCAAAGAGTGACACATATTCAAGTGTATCAAGGCTATCCGTGTTAAACGTCATGCTTCATTATTTCCCTCAGACAAACTGTAGCATAACACGAAGCATCAAGATCAAAAGAGATCAAAAGAGATCCAGCCGCTTCATCCTTCGAGAAACCTGGCATTGTGACATCAGTACCAAGATCTCCCATTAGCTGGAATGAGAGACGATGGGGATGCTTCAGTATCTGCCTGTAGCACCCTGGCACATTCAGTTTCAGAGCAGGCACTTTAAACCTACATGTCTGTAGTCCATCTCTGCTAAGTATTTCCCTGTACCACTGCCCTACTTTGTTCGCTGGGTACTGAATATTGTATCCAAGTACTGGAAGAACCACCTGTGAATGAGGAGAAAAAGAAAATACATGAAATAGTCTTCAGAAAGAGATATAACCGTATTTTACTTTTACGACTAGGGGCACCATAAACTGGGTCTCAGGATATAAATATTTCAATCAGCCTAGAACATGTTTTGAATACTGTATTTTTAATGCTGCCAGGTAAAGAAAATAGCTAAGCAAAATCAAGGACTTTCAATAACTACACCTGATTCAATGAAGTTATCATTAGACAAAGCATGATTCAAGAAGTTAGGACCATTTAATTAGGCAGTGAAGACTGAACCTCTAGGAAATTATGCAATCCTGAAAGCATATCCCGTAACACGAAGAGTGGCCTCTACCACTCCATCATGTAACTGGTAGTTTGGGTCATAACTTTAAACCCCTTTTACTTATTTAAAACATGAAAGTAACCAAGTCACAACAAATAAAAGCTTATTTTCTCAGCTGCTTGCGAGTACACATTGTATTTTGTGGGGATTTTTTTCCTTTGCTGAGGACTTCTAGACAGTTTGTTTGAACAGTACCAAAAGGTAGTCAGAAAAAGGAACAAGAGGAAAATCCCTGAAATATACACAGTATGAATGAATCTCAAGGTTCTTACACAAGTGAAAGAAGCCACATGCAAAGGTTATACTGTGCAACTGCATATATGTGACGTTCTTTCAAAGGCAAAACCACAGCGACACGGAATGAACCAGTGGTTTCCAGGGCTGGGGACAGGAGAGGGGGTTAACTATAAAAGTACATGAGGAAATTTCAGGGAGAGACGAAGCTACTCTTTATATTGATTTCTGAGGTGGTCATATGATTATATGTTGATGAAAAATTATAGAACTAAACTGAGTGTATTTGTAACAAATGATAATTGAAGTTACTAAAAAAGGGATCCTATCAACATTTCATATTCGGGACAATGCTTACACCAAAGTCTAAAGTGACAGTAACTGCTAAGCAAATTTACCTGGTGTATTGCGTACGTACTAGCCGCTTCCTCTTCTTCAGTTACCAGGTGAACCTATTTTTTAAAAGCATGATAAAAATGAGAGGTTCCCAAATGTTCAAATTACATCAATTTTCCCTGACTCTATTTTGTATAATTTGATTCCTGTGATGAATGTAAATATATCTAAACAGGATCTTTTCATACAATGTGTTTCTGGTGAAGCAGATTACATGAAAATTGAGTAATTCTTCCTGCTTCAACTACCGAGAACTGAAGCTGGAAGACAAGGAGAAAGGTGGGCTGCTCCAAGGCAATACTTTCACTTCAGTCACCAACACTCTTTTCCTAAATTACAAAGTTGTTCTTTACTAGGCTGAATCCAAGATCTGCTTCTGTACAACCGATTTTCCCAGTCTCACCAACCTCATAATACTGTACACACAGGCATGGTACTTGTCAACCTTTGTGTCACAGAACAGTAGTAGGTGTCACAGAAAGGAGAAAAAACCAAACGTGTATGATGAACTAAATTTGAGAAATGCTATATAGGAGATCACAGAATTAAACCAGGCATGGTGGCACACACTCGTAATCTCAGCACTTAGAGGAGGCTGAGGCAGGACGATCACCATGAGTCTGAGGCCAGCCTGGGCTACAATAGTAAGTTCAAAGCCAGGCAGCTTACGCATAATGAAACCGTGTCTCAAAAAAAATAAGAAAAAAAAAAAAAAGAAAAGAAAAGAAGAGGAGAAAAGGGAACTATGACCTCTCTTGCATCATCTCTTCCGCTGTTTTGTCTTTTACAGATTTATGGGCATCCCTACCATACTGGGATTGAAATAATTTATGAACAAATTAATTATGAATAAATACTGAACAAACACAGTCAAGTACAGAGCACCACGCTTTGTTTTTTAGAGCACCTTTCCAGGTTGGTATCGAACAATTAACTACAAATACACTTCTGCTGTATGACTGCTCCCCAGCTATGAACTCATCTAAGTTTTAAATTGTGTAATCTACATTTTTCCATTCTCCCTCTAAAATACTGTAAAAGAATTTTAAAAGCCAGACTGGAAATGGATCTAATACAGTGAAAAGCAAAGATGGAACCTAGAAAGCACAAAAAAGATAATTTCGGCTTTAAGCCTGAAGATACAGCTGTGCCTGAATCAATCAAAGGTCTTCAGTTTTAAGGACTGATAATTTTTGTTGTTTACTCCTTAAATAAGTTTTGAGTTATATTTGTCGTATTTAAATCTAAAAAGATTCTCTTTTAATTTTTTTATTTTTCCATTTACTGACATCCCACATTAAAGGCAGAGTAGCATCAGGGGATTAGGAAACAAAATACACATATACACACACGCATGCACATATACATACATATACACATACATACATAAAATAGATGTTTAGTTGTTTCCAAAGTCAGGGCTTCTGAAAATTTATGTCCCTGGTATGTTAACTACATCTCTCTGATGAAATAATACCTACTTTACTACTGGGGAAATGCTCATCAATGTCTTCATCCAAGCAGATCAAATCACCTTCCACCACTTTTGATCCATAGGTTGCAAGTCTATACGACACCGCCTCGTTCCAGATTTTGCTACTATATGCATGAATGTAGAATATGCGCATAGAATGGGGAAAAGAGAACCACGCCTGGGTGCACCCCTCCTCCGTCATGCCGAAGCGATGTAACGCCTCCAACAGCGCTCTCTCGCGAACTTTGAACTCAGGCATCAGGGAAAGCGTGCCTTTAGCATCCTCTGAAATGAACAGCAAATTAGATAGTCAGCCGCTTTTACTTAAAAGCCCCTTATGGAGCCCTTCCTTACGCTGTCTAAATGAGAGACAAACACCATAAATATGAAGATGATCCTTGACATTAGCAGTTAAACCTAGTTATGCTTAAAGGGCTATTTTTTGAAATGAAAAGTCATTCATTGTTTGACCCTCCTTGTATCTTCCTAGCTGAAAAAAAGGGCAAAAAAGTCCAAAATTCAGAATGGTTTATAGAATTCCTTCCCTGGAAGTGGACCTCATTTGCAGTTGAGAAGACTGTCAAAATAAACAGTAGAAAATCCCCACAGATTAAACAAATCACCACGTTGGTAGGGTGTGTGTGTGTGTGTGTATGTAGTATTTGATACTGAGAATTGAACCCAGAGCCTCAAATAAGGTAGGCAAGCTAACATGCTTGCCCACTGGACTAGATATATTTGAAGTTTTACAGATGTATACACAGAATTTTGAGAATAAGAAAGAACTGAGATCCAGATCCTCCACATATACTACTAGGCCTCTCTAGCAGAATGCTTTTTAAAATGTAGATTCTTGGGCTCCACTGCAAATACGTTTATTCAAGTGGTTCTTATATTCTGTATTTCAATAAATTTACTAGGTGTTCCTTAGGCACATTAGCTTAAGAATCACTGACATGGAGAAATGATGTCCTCAGACTCTACAACAGAAACAAGCAAAGCAGTCATACTGACTTTCTTTTAGTATTCATTAGATTTTGCCTCACAGTTAAAATGCACACACTGTTCACAAATCACGGTGTGGAACAAATATATTACCGTCTTGTGAATGATTATCTCTATATAATATGTACATAATTTAAAATAATGAATAGAAGAAATATTTGAAAACTATTGTCCTTTATTTCAGTGGAATTCAGTATATCTATGTAAAAGATCAGACATTTGAGCGAACCTAAAGTGGTATGGTCACTGCTATTATTATTTAATACATGTAATATTTATCCAGCATGTAGTATGTGGCAGGCACTCTTTTAAGACCCTTAGTTAAATCTCTTAACAGTCTTTTAAGTACCAGTATTAGATTCAATTTAGAGACAAGGCAACAACAGGGCTAAATCGCCTGCGTAAGATCCTTCATTTGGAGAGTCCTCATGTAGAGAGCAGCCCACGTGGTCTGGAGCTACTTTTTTTTGTGAATCCCATTACGCTCTCTATATAGAAACCATCACATTGATGTAAAGTTTTCAAAATCGACAGTCTGGGTTAAACGTCAACTAGATACAAAACAATGCATAAAGCACACAACTTCATTGTTTACTTTTGAGTCTCCTCTGGTTACAGTGAATTACACTGCCATCAGTACCAGTTTAGAGTTCGGAACTCTTCTCTCCGCAGAAAATCTTGGCCAAGGAAAAGTAAGAAACTATTTCTCTGCTACCTTCAAGAATATTTACAACAGACAAAAAAAAAGTTCCAGAGATCTGGTAAAAATGAAGTGCTTACATCATGCAATACAATGACTCAAAATACAATATATTTCAGTGTATTTCCTCTCACATGTGTATTGCAATAAATGCCCTCCTGCTGACATAACATTTGCATTTTTACGTATCTGTACAGCCACACACAGGATAAAATAACTCATATACCAGTCTGAAGAAAAAATGTCTTGGCTTTATTTACAGGATCTTCCAAGTCCTCTGGTGTAAGAAATAATTTTACGGCCTTCACCTTGAAACAACAAGCAAGAAAACACAGGTTGAATAAAAACGTTAAAATGCTCTTAAAATATGCAAGTCCTTGGCCACCCTAAAAGAACAGGCATTTGGTAAATATCTGAGGTTATAAATTTCTCTGCAGACTTTCCCAAGTTAAGTAGTCAATATTCCACAAGAAACAAAAACCTGCACAACCCAACTTTCTGTGCAGGTTTAAAGTATTACAGAGTGGAGAGAGTGCCCCGCCCACTCCCCTGCACAGCTGCACTCCAGCATTCTCCAACGGAGATGTGAGCCCAAGTGTAACGCAGTGACCTAAGCACTCACACTCGGTCAACGGGCGTGACAGACGCTGGAGAGGAAGCAAGCCAAGGGAATGGTAAGTCACTAATTTCCTTTGTATCCTCAATTCCCTGAATTCTTTGGAAAATGCTCTCTGTATCTTATTACTGTCTCCACTGCTGGAATTTATGTCTCAGTATTGTACATGTCCTAGAGTAGGAAAGGATCTTAAAACAGGTCAATCAGAGTGTAATGGTGCATGCGTGTAATGCCAGCACTCAGGAGACTGAGGTAAGCGGGTATGAGTTCAAAAACAGCCGGGGCTATACACTGAGTTCATGGCCTGCCTAAACTACATAGTGAGACCCTCTCTTAAAACAAAAAGGAAGCCTGGTGTGGCGGCACACACCTGTAATTTCAGCACTGGGGAGGCTGAGGCAGGACTGCTGTGAGTTCAAGGCCAGCTTTAGCTACACAGTGAACTACACAGTGGCATCCTGTCTCAAAAAAAAAGTCATTTGGCTCAATCCTCTTAGACAGTATTTAATCACGCAAATAAATATTCAATCAGAAGCTAATACATTCCAACAAATATTAAGCACCTGCTATATGCTAGGTACTGTGTAGGGCACCGGACAGTGTTGATCAAAAGGACATAGTCTTGTTCTAGTAAAGCTTACTACCTATGAGAAAATATTAAATAAGCAGCCAAAATAAATATAATAAAACTTAAGATGGGAAGTCTAGGATGATGCAAGACCATAAGATGTGTGAGTTCACTCTTTCTTGGAAAGTGAAATAAGAATATTTAAATTGCGACATCATCTTACAGATGAAAATGAGTACAATACTATCATATCTTACATTTGTGCAAACACAGAACTTTTACAGTTTTGTAGTTTTCCTTCATTATGTGTACTGCACTCCAAGGTAAAAATATATACATATATACTACCTATAGATACATATTAAAAGTACACATGTACAAACATTTGAACTGGACAATGTAGCTTATATGTGACATGTATTTTAAGTTTCATTTGAGACTAGTCAGACTTTGTTTTCAAATCTGTTGTTTCTCTTTTAGTGTCTGGACTTCCACATGATCTGATAACTAATTTATAGAATTAGAGGGTGTTTCGTCTAACTCTTCTATTTAGTACACTAAGGATTTAGGGCTTCAATTCTCTGCCCAGTCTCCTGTAAGAGATATTACATATACTTTGCTTTTTATACTTGAGTAGTGTATTAACAGTTACTTTATATTCAATGATCTAATATATGTCATCTATGTATGTATGTGTATATACATAAGTTATGGTTAAAAAAGCAACAGGTTAGCTTGTGTAGTAAGTAAAAATGAATAAACAGTATTTTTAAAATTCATACCATTTCACTCTTCAGCAATGCCAATCCAATTTGGTCTGTGTGAACTTTCCTTCCCTTCCCAAATCTCTGTGGTCCATAGTAATTCACAAAACCTTTAGTCTATGAATACAAAATATACCATATATTAAGTACATAAGTTTAATTATTATATAAAAAAATTAATGAAATATTTCTCATATTTATTTTAGCAGCACAATTTTTTTTCCGGGGGGGGGGGTTCCAGTACCGGGAATTGAACTCACGACCTTGCGCTTGCTAGGCAGGCGCTGCACCGCTGAGCTAAACCCCCAGCCCCACTTACATTTATTTTAATCAAAAATATCTTAATTAGTGATAGGGACACAGGAGCCAGTGGGAAAAATAATATTTAGTTAAAGACTAGAAAGGAGAAACACAATTACGAGCATGAAGGGGAGGGGACATAAAAAGAATTAAGATGGTTTATGTACATGTACCAACACTCCATGATAAATAAAATCATTATGTACTGCAAGCTAATAAAATAAAAACTACTAATGTATTCATAAAAATTTTGAAAATAAAATGTAAAAAATAAATGAATGAAAAAATAGAAGTCAGCACATAGAACAGTGGAGAAAGGCAGCCTTCTGGTCACATTATTAAGGGATTTCCTGGCAGGCATGACTGTCATTGCTAAAGCCAGAAACTTCTGGGCAATCTAGGATGGGCTAGTTAGCTGGCAACTGGACCTGATCTCTGCCCTGAAGTTCTTTCTTATTCTGAGACTCTTCTGCTCTCAGATGTTGAGCACAAGAAACAGATTTATTTTCAAGCCCAAGTCTTGGCTCCTTCACATAATCGTTTATTATTTAGCTCATCTCATTTTCTTACAGCATGCCCCCACCCCAGCCAGAAAAGTCCCATGGTATCACTCTGGCAGGGCTCCGCTGGTGAAGCGATCACAGTGCTTAGATTCCAGGGGAAGGCAGAGAATTCACCTCTAGGTGTAGGTCAATCTTCATTACTCAGAAGAAACGGAAAATTATAACTTCTTACTATAAACTTTACAGAACATGGGCAGTGGTTAAATGTGCTCTTACAAAGAAAACATCAAGCCCAGATGGCTTCCTGAGAGACAAAAGAATCTCCCACCCTCAGTCCACCAGGGGAGTGTATGTTTCTCCAGCCAATAATTGTTATTGAGCACCAACCCACAGACTATTGAATGAAAGAGGCTCAGACAGTTTTTTATCAGTACCACATAAAAGGAAGGGTGTCTTTACATCAAGTACAAAACTCAACTGATGATAGGTAAATACTCCCTTAATTCAATCTCACAGTTGAATGTTTTATCACTTTAAATTTGAATAGATTGAGATAACTTAGAATGACCAGAATAATTTTAACTACTACTCCTACAAATTAATTATGCAGAACAATCAGAGCTATCTACAACTCTCTAAAGAAAAACTTAAAACATTCTTTATTTTCAAGGCCATTCAACTCCCTTCATCATGAGAATTAAGACAGCTGGCTAAACCTAAGATTATTTCCACTAGAAATTTTATCACAGGCAACTGTTCCTTCTTAAGTACTGATGATAAATGCTATCAGAGTTCATAGAAATCCTTCTATTTTTTAAGAGGTATCATTTTAGCAACAGCTTTTCAGTCATGGGAAAAAAAGTAGGTCAATCAGGAGAAAAACATGTAACATATATAAAATATGCAACCAGAAAACTCTTACACATAGGAGAAATTGATTTTTTAAAAATGAGAGGAGGATACAGCGCAAACAAGCTTTATATCTAAAGAGGGGAAGACGGGTTCAAAGGAGGGGAAGGGAATGGGAAAAAAGGAATCAAGATCTATCACATACAAGTACAAATTCACTATGCTGAATGTGACCATTATGTATATCTAAATTGTACGAAAAACTTTTTTTTTTTCCCCCGGTACCAGGAATCGAACTCATGACCTTGTGCTTGCCAGGCAGGCGCTGTGCCGCTGAGCTAAATCCCCAGCCCCTTGTACAAAAAACTCAATAAAAAAAACTATGAGAAAAAAAAAGATCTTCAGCTGTAAGATATTTCCCAACTGTAAGGCAGCCAGGCTTTGTCCGCTTGTCTTTCTGTTAGACAGGTATAAAATTGTGTAAAAAAACACCCTTGCAGTGAAAACTTGATGAGTCTCTCAGTATGGGCAGCAGAACAGAAAGAGGCAGGACCTTAATTTAAAATACCAACGTCAGAGCCTCACCCCCAAGTGGTCTCATTTAATTGGTTTGAAAGCAGAAACTGACTGCTGGCATTTTTTTAAAGCTCCTCAGGTTGAGAATTACTGGTGTAGATCAGGGACTGGCCAACTACTGGAGCCCACAGGTCAAACTTGGCTCATTACAGTACTCACTTTTATAAATACGCTTTTGGAAGCTCAGCCTGCTCGTTCATTTATATATTGTGTGGCTGCTTCCACACAATGGCAGCTGACTGATTACAACCAGAACCACAGGCCCACAAAGGAAAAAGTGCTATCTGTCATTTACAGAAAAATGTGCTAACCCTTAGTCTGGATGATCAGACTAAAAGCTATGTCTGCACATGCGTATTTTCAAATCTAGCACATGTCATTTAAAAACCTAAGTAATGTTTTACTATAAGACATAATGAACTGTATATAACTATGTGTATATATAGAAAAAAATTCAAAAGTAGCTTAAAAAAAGATTATGCACGATCTTAAAAGTAATATATTTACCAAAAATTTCTGAAAAGAACTACTGAACACGATTTCCCAAAAATACGTTTCTCTGACTAAAATACTTTTCTACAACGAAGACATTAAAAAAAAATTCCTCTTATGCAGACTGTCCCTCCTTCTTTGTGAAACTCCACATTGTACTGTATTTTAAAAACTACTCATGTTGGTTTGAATATAACAATTACTAAGAAGAAAACAGAAAGTAAGCCAAATGGTTCTAATTATCATTTTAAAAAATAATTTTACATGCACATAAACAAGAAAAATAAGTTGCTCTTCCTCCTTCACTGCAAAGAGAGAACTATGATGACTTTCCTGTAACACTCTATTTGAAAACTGAATTTTCTTACCTTAACATTTTCTATTGCTTCCCAGATTCTCTCTCTCAGGTTTGCAGAATCGTTTTCTTTACTTTTTAAATTTCGAATGACAATATCAAAGTGATTTCCTTTGAGCTGACCAAGTCTAAGGGATTCACTTACAGATCGAATGTTAGACACATTCATTCTTTTCTTTTCAATTTCTTTTTCAATATTTTTCAACCTGTAAGTAATACATCAAAGACTCAGTTAAATCTTACATTAAAAAAATACTTCAACATAAATAAGATTTCAAATGATCACTGCCTGGTAATTCCTCATATGAGAATACAAGTACTAACACAATATTAACTTCAGAATACTCTAAAGTTAATGTTATGTCAACAAATACACACCAAGTCACCACTATTACGGGAGTACGCTAACAGTTACTTTAGGAATTTGAACATGTATTACTAATGCTATCACTTAAATGTGTAGGCGCCTGACTTCTAAGTTCATGTGACAGAACCTCCCAACTGCTCTTGTGACCTTCGCAAGTGAACCCCAAAGTCGGGGTACGCCATACCCCAAAGCTGCACCTTCCCAGGCTTGGCTCTTTCCCTTCTCAGTCGCTCTTCTCCCAGTATTAATGACAAAAATCACCAGCACCAGATAATTTCCCTATAATTCTGCTTTAAACCCTTTCTTATTCAAACCTTCAGTTCTCGCCCAACATCTAACCAGACTGCGATTTTCTTACCATAAATCTCAAGGCCTTGTAGAAGCCAACATACATTTTCCTTCACATCCGTATTTTAAGTAGTCCTCACAAAAAATACCTATTTTAGAAGTAGACTGCTTAGTTTCTTAGCCCTCCAAATATTTGTCTTAAATAACTAATCCAAAGCTCTTCTTCTTACCATACCACAGTTCTTGACCACAAAAACAGAACCATCCCTGTCTGTGTCCCATAGAGAAGAGTTTAGGAAAACTTAGAAAAATCTACTTACAAATAGTGATATTTAAATACTTGATGACTAAGGATTAAAACATTAACTGAGACTGAATTTTGACCCAGTGATATAACTTTTTGAAGTTTACCTTAAGGAAAGTATACACAAAATATAAATTTAAGTCTAAGAATGTGAATCATTATTTACATTGAAAATTGGAAAGAATTCCTATTTCCAAAAATAGATGACTATTAAATAAGCCTATATTACAGACACACATTTTCATATAAGAATATTACTTATTTTTAAAAATATGAACAGCATGTGCAATGTAACTTTCATATGTATATGTGTATGTATGTGTGATATGTACATGTGGTACAGTCTCTGAAAAATACCTTGAAAGAAATAATTGTTTATTGTAGTTTTTTTTTGAGGAGTGGAATCATTAGTGACTTAATTTCCTTTTTATACTTGTTTCTACTTTCTCAATCTTCTACATTGAATACATATTTATTTTACAAAAAATATTTTTACTATAAAAAATACTTTTTAAACTACTAAGTTGAAGAGAAGCAAAATTTGAGTAATTTGCACTGTATTTAACAAGGATGTATTTTAAATGCAATCATGAAAATGAAGTATTATACTGATTAGGAAAAAATGACTTATAAAACACTTTCCTGAACATAAATGTTTATTTGAATATAGTACAGGATATTTAGAAAAATTTAGAAAATTTAAAAATCTCCCACTTTTTAGTTTTATCCTAAAATTTCCTGTATTTTCAATATAAATCAAAGATATATTTGATTTATATTGAAATTTGTATTGATGGTATTATTCTTCTCTTTCTTTTTTTTTTTTTATGTCTTTTTGAGACAGGGTCTTGCTATGCAGTTCAGGCTGGCCTTGAGCTCACTTTGTAGCCCACGCTGGTCTTGAACTTGCAACGATCCTCCTGGCTCAGCCTCCCAAATGCTGGGATTACAGGCGTGCACCACCACACTCGGCTTTATAACTCTATTTATAACTATAACAATGTAAGTATGTGCTGATGGCCTATAATCAAATAATATTGATACTGAGGTTAATATTCTTCTAGTAATGAATTTTTAATTTTATATTACTTGACGCAATAAAAAAAGGAAACTTGCATCTTATAAAGTAATACCTTATTACCTCTCTGGAGTCACTTTTCTTACGACCATTGCCTGGTAGGTGATGGCTTTCTTGTCTTTAAGGCCTGCATAACTGAAGTCAGAAGGAATCACACCAAGTTTGATAGCTAAAAAACCAACTGCTTCGAACATCTCCAGATTTTCCTTTTGCAGTGTGAAAGCTGAAACAAAAATAATCTCAGATTGCAAAAGAAAGGCAGCTGCCACTTCTCAGTTACACTCTTCCCCACAGTACTATTCTAGTTTTTATACTTGTGGAAATTAAATCTTAAGAGATTTTTAAATTTTCACAAAGCTTTGTAAACTAAAGTCCAAATGTACATTCAAACCCACACAACTTTAAGGTCCGGACTCTTCATTTATACCCTGGAGTGCTACAGAGTATAATCCTGCTTCTGTGCCATCCACATCTGTGCAAACTTGGGCGCTACTTTTCTTTAAACTGATTTGCTAAGCAAATCTGTAAACACATTCCATCCTCCGAGTTAGGCTCTGGATTTGTACAGTGAGATTTCACCGGTTCTGTCCATCAGAGGAATTACACATATGCCTCAAAATGGTAATTCTCAAAAAAAACACTCCCCAAATCAGCAGGGCGAGCAGCACTGGGGAATTAGTGTACACCCCACTCAGTTCTTCCAAATCAGAAACCGGGAATCACACTAAAAGAGTGTTTTAATAAACGTTTGTGAGATTATATTGCATGCTAAAGTTTGAGCACATCTTAGAGCAGACTGATACAGCCGTTTTCAAGCTCTATATTGCAAGGAGGAAAATTTGTTTTGCAAATACTTCTTACTTTAGGAAGCACAGCAAACACATACTTAATAAATACTTAGCTTTAACTGACTCTCAAAACAGGAAATCAGAATTTACTATCACTAATACTAAGCCCGAAAGAACTGTTTCAACTTTATGTTTGTGACTCTGTTAACTGTAAATGTCTATTTTACTCATCTTTCCATCAATGAGGCTAATTATTACATTCAGTGCAACTTGAAAGATTGTTTCATGAAGTAACAGAGCACATAATCTTTCCAAGGCCTCTCTGGCCAAGTCTGTTCAAATTATTTATCCAACTTCCACTCAACTTTAACTAAGAAAATGATGTTTTGTTAAATTACCTGTGTGTACAATTTTTCCTTCTCGGCATTCAACAAGAGACCTTTTTCCACGCTTGCGTGTTTTCTCCCGAAATCTTACCGTTATCACTGTGTTCGGATTACTAGCGCTGTAATTCTGTTCGGGGAAAGATTTGGTTTCCACAAGGTTTCCAAACTTCTTGTTGACAAAATGGTGGACAGCTTTTCTGTGGTCTTTGTTTGCATCAGGTTTAAAAGTAAACTTGGAATTTTCTTTCTTAGCATCTAAATATTTAAAAAAGTCCAATGCTTCCTCTTCAGATACCAGGTGACAGAGTTCTTTATACTCAAGGTTTGGTTTTACAACAATTTCACTGTTTTTTCCTACAGTTATTAAAAAAGGAAATTTTTGCCTAACAGCACTATGTAAACTAGCCCTCTGGTTTTTGTCAAGGATTCTGCCTAATGAAAATTCAGGGAATGGTTCAGATGACTCAGTTTTTGAATTCCACTTCTCCTTTATTTGACAGGCAAACTTATTCAGGGATTCATTAGTTTTTCCATCTAAAAAAGAGCGCAAGACATCAACGTTTTCTTCTTCATGTTTGGAAGTCCTGTCATCAATAGTATTTTTTTCTGAATCTGACTGATGATTTTGGTCACCGTTGGAGCAAACAGGCGAAGTATTTTCTTGGTTACTTCTATCTTCAAAGGACAAATTTTGAAGATCTAGTTTTGGCTTCTTGGCAAAATTACTCAGCTCTGGCAGCATTTTATTAACCAAAACAGGTTCATCGATGGTTTCGTTAACTAATTGTCCCTGTTCATTAATCTCAGTAACAATAAAGTCACTTGGTGAGCTCTTTATCGTACCCTGAAATCCAATATGCTCATTAATGAAGCACAAAGAACTAAACCGGCTTTCATCCTCTGTATCCTCTTCCATTCTAATAGTAATGCCTACAAAAGAAACAGATTCAGTCAGTGACCAGAGAGAGAAGTTGCAAATAACAACAAAAACACTGGTCTGCAGCGTTTACTTAGTTCTGTCACCCATTTAATACTCAGTTCTCGTAAATGACACTAATAATTTACAGCCGTGTATTTATCATTTGTACTTTGACACCCCTGTACCAAGCTGAGTAAGGAAGAAAATCATTTTTGGTATAACTAGTGATTTATAACTTGATTTTTCACTCATTCCAGGCTCCTACATAATATCCAGGATGAAAATGGATCCATTTCAAGTTTATCTTAAAAATATGTGTAGGGGGGCTGGGGATTTAGCTCAGCGACGAAGCGCCTGCCTGGCAAGCGCAAGGTCGTGAGTTTGATTCCCAGTACCGGAAAAACAACAAAAAAAAATATGTGTAGGCCCATAAAAGGAGGAGAACAGGACTATTTCACAATGGTATGTGTGGTTTCATCACTGGAGCTTAAAATTTCCACTAATGCCAAGAAATTACGGCCAGATATTTATGTATTAGAGCTTAGAAAACAAGAGGGAACAGTAAGACAGAAAAAAAGTTCAAACTGATAAGTAAGTAAAGTCGTTAAATATCACCTTACAACCTGTTTATATTCCGAGGCAGGTTTAAGTTAGTCTTGGACTTTAAGCCTTCTCTAAAGCCCCCCAGAAATACAGAAATCCTAAGTTGATCCAGAGGAAAACTCTGGCCATGTTATTAGCATCCGAGAGAGGAAACCCTCATAGGGTTTCCTTGGGCAGCAGATGAGAGACCGGTTTTCTGCGACGCCTTCAGTCGTTGACACACAAGGCATCACGACTCTACCAGAGCAGCTGTAGGAAAGTAAACTGTCCGAGGCCTCACTGCTTATCGCTATCATCGTATGGTCCTTCATCCCACTGCGACCATGTAGTCTACTACCCTGAACCAATTTAGCAAACTACTTCCCTGCCCGATCCTTTCTGCTGTGTCATGCAAACATCAGAGCGCATTCCCTGTATTCTAAATTTCTAGGAAAAATAAAATTTAAAAAAAGATGTCTTTATTTTCCATCACTGCTCTGGTTTTTTGCCCTAATGGAAACGTGGCTATTTGCCCAAACTGCTTCTTCAGCAGTCCTCTCAACTGATGGCTATTTCTTCTTTCACAGGTATCATCCGTCAGGACTGGGCAGTTATAAATGTTCTCTGATTGTCACTGATCTTTCCTAACCATTTCTTCCTCTTCTACCTCCCAAAACAATACTTTTTTTTTTTGGTCTTTTTGAGACAGGGTCTCGCTATGCAGTTCAGGCTGGCCTTGAGCTCACTTCGTAGCCCAGGCTGGTCTGGAACCCACAACAATCCTCCTGCCTCAGCCTCCCTAGTGCTGGGATTATAGGCGTGCACCACGCCCGACCAAAAAACCAGTTTCCCTTCGGATCATGCCATCAGGCTTTACCATCTGCTGTCATCCTCACTGACCCCTGATGACTCCTTTATCCACTGATAACTTCTGGCTCACCACCTTCTTACCCGGCACACCTCCATGGTCACCCAGACGGAGCATGTACTCAGCATCCTGGTTCCTTGCTTCTTCATTCTCATCCTCACCCTCCTACCTCTGCTTCATTTTGGTCATCTGCTCTTATGGTAATAACTCTGAGTTTCTCATCCACAAAAGCCATCCAACCTTAAACACCTGACCCCCCAGTCACTACCACCATCCTTCCATCAGCCCTCCTTAAAACCTCTATTCCAAAAACCCCTAGACACCGTGAGGGTCTCTCACTCCCACTTCTACATCTTTGCCCATTCTCTGGGCAGCAGCCAGAATGTTGCTTTAAAAGATAAATTACATTGCAACTATATTAAAAACCCTATCACCACACGTACTGTAAAGTCCAAATTATTATCCCTGAATTCCGGACACCTAAGGTTCTGGACCCTGTCCTTTCTCCAAACTCATCTTGTACCTTTAACCCATTATTCTATTAGCTGGTCTTTTTTATGACATTCATGCTAACTGTTCCTGCTACTTAAACTGTTGCTTCTTCAGTTATACAGCTGCACCTTTTAGGGTTCACGTTCTCATAAATGTCCCTGACCAGTAATCCACAGGAACCCGCAAGCCATTCTTTCACAAAACCCTTTCCAGTTTTTTTGGACAGTACTTCCAGGGAATGTTTTTCTGGGTTATTTACTGTCTACTTCCCCCAACCTAACGTCAGCTCCCTCTGAGCAGGAACACCATCTGCCTTCCTAACGATTAGCCCACATCGAGAAGTGTCGATTACAGAAGGGCTGCAATCAGTACTGACAGCTGTACAATCACACCACCAGTAGAAAATATGGGCTGTAAGAGTGCAGAGGAAGAAGGGATGACTTCTGTCTAAGACAATCAGGGAAGCAGCAACGCAAGGAGCAGCACCTGTTGTGACTGACAGCGACACGCCCCCCGGGGTGGGGCTCCCCGCTGGGGGCTTTCGGAAGGTGACCGATTACAGCGGACTCGCCACTGGGCGGGGGGGCCTGGGGGAAGAGGTGGGTCAGCGGGGCAGGGGCCTGGGGGGTTTTCCGGACGCCGCCCCCTCCGCCCTGCTGCCCGGCCTTGCAGCCCGGCGACTGCAGACCGGGAGCCAGAGCACACCGCTCCGCCTCTGACCTGCTGGGGCCCGGGAGACACCCACGAACAGGAGCCGCAGTCGGAAAGCAGCCCCCGCTGTCGGGGTTGGCCCTGGAAGAACGACCTCTACCGTTC